ACATGTGCAGATAGAAAATAGATACCAATGGGTTAGGATAGAAAGATGAATGTGATTTGGCTTTTCTCTCAAAAACCTACAAAGCAATGGGAAAAATAACATGCAAGCAGAGTTCCACATCAAAATCCCAGCCAAATTTTTATGGCACTTAGTAAAGTAGAAATTTTATATGGAAGAAAAAAGGCCCCAAATCACCAAGATAATTCTGAAGAGGAACAAGTTTAGGGAGAGAAGGCGGGACTTACCCTACCAGATAATCAGAATTCTTATAGAGCTGTCATAATTAACAAGGAAATATTGGCATGGAGCTAGCGCAGAACAGAATGAGAACACAGAAACACATTCATACAGGATTTTCCTTTTTTTTAGCAAAATGCAAAAACCCCAGAGGCTATAAAGAAAATTGATATATTTTACTACATCTGAACTTAAACTTTTTGTAGTCAGCAAGACACTATAAACAAAGTTAACAGACTGAGAAGACAGAACCTATACAGTTGATAAAGGAGCAGAATACACAAATAAACAAATTAACTTCCCAAAAGTTCAATAAGAAAAAACAAATAACAAAGAGAACGCAGGCAGAGGATATGAAGAGGCCTCTCCCAGAAGATGAAACCTGAACGATGAGTAAGCATGAAGAATATGTTCCATCTGACTACATCAGGGACATGTAAATCAGAACAGTGAGACTGCATTTTCTACCCAGAGTATCTGCTAGTGGGCTTGAGTTTCACAAAGCCAAATGTCAGCACAGATGTGAACAACCTCATATGATGCTGGCAGGATGCACGGTGGGACCACCCCTCTGAAAGCAATTTGGCAATGTCTGGTGAAACTCCAAATACATACACTCTACGGCCCTGCTAACCTATTTATAGGCATTTACCTTCCATCAGTTCTTGCACAAGTGCACAAGGGAATGTGCACAACAGGTTCATTGCAGTGTTATTTGTAATTGTGGAAAATTAAAAATGAGCTAGACGTCTCAGTCAGGGAATGGATAAATTGTAGTACGGTCATTCAAAAGAATGATCCATAGCAGATGGATTAAATGAAATAGATCCATGTTTATCAAGACTGATGATAGGCTAAAGAGTCTCAAAAATATAATGTGGACTGAAAACGAGAAGTAACAGGAAAATATGGGGAGTATGGGACCACTTATGTAAATGTGAGAGCACCCCAAGTACTATATATTGTTTGTGTGTGATACCTGCGTATTAAAAGGATGAAAACTGGACAAGAGGAATATTAACAACTTCACGATAGCTACACCTGGGGAAGAGAGGTCTGGTGCCTTTGGGAGTGGAGCTCTGGCCTTCTTCTGCTCCAGCCCCAGGGCCAAGAGGTTGTACCCACCTGAAGCCCATCTCTGCTCTGTCTTTTTGAGGATGCAGTGCATCCCTCCTACCCAAACTCTGGGAGCTGGGACCCCAAGATTCCCTGTCCAGTGGTCCCAAGGCCTCTTCCTGGGCCTGGGTGGGCCTTTTTCGCTGGCCCACCTTCTCAAGAAAGGGTTGGGTGTCTGCCTCGGGGTGGGAGGGAGGGGACAGGGAACAGGATCTGAAGGCATCTGAAGGAGACTTCAACTGTGTCTAGGAATGCTAGTTCTTAATAACAGTATCCCTAAAACAAACATAACAAATGACATTCGCTAATTCTGGGGGTGGGAGCAAAAAAAAGCAATTCTTATGGCACTTAGTAAAGTAGAAATTTTATATGGAAGAAAAAAGGCCCCAAATCACCAAGATAATTCTGAAGAGGAACAAGTTTAGGGAAAGAAGGCGGGACTTACCCTACCAGATAATCAGAATTCTTATTGCTCTTTTTAATAGCTGACTCATATATATCACTTACCATGTTTCAAGTACTATTCTAAGTGATTTGCCTTGAAAATGAGATAGTTCATTCTTACTCAGTTTTATGGAAGACAACTCAATAACTTGCCAAGGTCATTCACTGCAAAAAGTAGAAGGGGATTTGGACCCAGTAGGTCTGGCTCCAAAGTCCATGATCTTAACAATACTCTAGGTCTACTTGACTGTATACTACATTAAAAAAAATTAAAATACCCAGACAAGTACAATACAAAGAAAAAGGTGGTGAAATTTTGCGAGAAGATTCTTAGATGTGTGAAGAGCACAGACAAAGAGGGCATTCCCTGGGAAGGAAGGCAGTTGAGGTGGTGGGGGACGCTTTACGAACCAGGTGCCTCCTTTCAGCCCGGGCCTTGCTGGGCTGTGGGCAGGGAGGGGCAGGAGAGTGAAATGGCAGGAAGAGGGAACTTTGTGTATACAGGGATTGATTTAGGAAAGTTCAAGAAGGATTTGAGGATTAGCAAGTAGCTATGTTTGGCTGTCACTTGAGGGGACAACTTGGTGAGGGACATAGGTTGGGATCCTTAAAGGGAGGGTGGGACATAAGGATTTAATCTGGAAGGCAAGGCACTCTCTGCCGAGCTGCACCATGGGCAGCCAGTGAGGACAGCAGGCTGGATGGCAGGCTGGCTGCAGGTGGGAGCCCCCAGGGGCACTGGGGGGCGGGGTCAAGAAGCTGCCAGGTATGCGCACCTCCTGTGAACCGGGCACTGTTCTAGGTGGTTGCAACACAGAGTGAACAAAACAGAAATTTCTGCCCTCATGGAACCTGCATTCTAGTGGAGGAACACAACTAAGATAAATAAGTGAGCTATACAGCAAACAAAGGGATACGAATATGCATCTGTGAGATGGAGAAAGCAGGGAAGGGGGCAGACTGCACACACACACGTGTGTGTGCGTGTATTGGGTGATGTGGGGAAGGCTGAATGGTGGGGAGGCGGGGGAGGAGTGAGCGGAAGTGACATTTGAAGAAAGGCCTGCCAAGTGAGGAGTGTTGAGAAGATCCAGAGATTGAGAGCCTGGGGCTGGGCCATGGTTACACCAAAAGGAGGGACAGGAGGAAGAGCTGGATGGGAGGAAGACAGACTGAGTCTGGGGCCCAGGGGGGCAGTTAAAAATATGGGCTAGAGCCTGGAGCGTGAGACATGCCCACACTGGAGTCACTGCTAACTCGGTGATAGATAGGATTTTAGGAGCTGAGATCAAGGAACAAGAGAACAATCAGGGAGCCCCCGCTGTGTGCCCTGCACACTATCAGGTGTTTTATTCCACAAAGGACCTGTAATCCTAAGGACATCCCTGCAGTCTCCAGAGCATGAAGTCAGCACAAATAACACCAGCAAGAGTAGCCCACACGTCAAAGGGTATATACTACATGCATGGGGCACTTTCCTGGCACTTTATATATATTGATTCATTCAGTCCTTACAGAGACCCCAGGAGGGTACTAATTAGCCTCATTTGACAGATGAGAACACCGGGCTGGCCAATTAAGTTGCCCAAGGTCACAGGCTGGTGAGGGGGTGAAGCACGCTGAAGAGGGCGGCCTGGCTCCAGAATCCTTGCTCTGGAAGGAGGTAACCTCTCGGCCCTTCAAAAAAAGCAAGCTGAGGGCCCAGAGCTTTTTTGAGGATGGGGTGCGGGTCTGGAGAGAAGAGCTAGAGAAATCCTCAGAAGACACATGGCAAGAGAGGAGGCCAGGCCAGGGCGGGGACAGCGCTGTCAGCCCTGCAGCCTGCGGGTGGCCCGCGAGCTGGCCGGTGAAGACCCAGCACCGGCCACAGCAGCCCAGAGGGATGGGAGCAGAGGCCTGGAGGCCAGTGCGGACACAGCTCTGCGGACCTCTGGGAGCGGATAAAAGCAGTCAGAAACAACCATCAAACCAACCCAACACCCTTTCCGGGCGATTTCAGGCCGGGAGAGTAGGTCTGAAGGCCCCGGCTGAGGAAACCGTATCCCGCCCGAGGTCGTTTTTCACTCTGAACTTGAATCTGAACAAGACGCTTAAACTCTGTAGATTGCCCAGCTGCCTTTTTGAAAAAGTTGGGCAATCTCTCAGATGGGACCGAAATCGAATCCCGCCCGGATCCGGCTTGGCAATGTGTCACCAAGCGGCCTCTGCGCACCGAGGGCAGGAGGGCTGGAGGGCGTGTCCCCGGGGCACAGGCGCGGGACCCGGAGCGCACGTCCTCCGTCCCCCCGCGCTGCCCTCGGGACCTCCGAGAGTCGTGGGTGACCCCGGAACTTTCCTCTGGGGCGCGACCCGGGGCCGAGCGCAGAGCAGGCTGGGGGCAGGGGCCGAATGGAGCTCCGCGCCAGGCCGGAGGCTGCGCCCGTCACTCGCAGGCCCGGGCCGGGTGGCCGGCGCGCGGTGGCGCTCA